TCCCATGCGTCTAAGCACTTCTTCATTCGTTACTCTTTGTACCCATGATATGCGAAGTATTCTTCTATACAAATACATCTCGAACGCTTCCAGGTTCTTCTCTAGGCTTGGGTTAAGTGTCCAACTCTCACAGCCGTATAACAACACTGAAAGACATAGCATCTGACCATACGAATGCGAAGTTCCAGGCTAAGATCTGATCTTGTGAAGAGTTTTCATTTGTGTGAACATGTTCAATTCTAGATCTTATCTCTCTTTTTCGGGTCGATCTGATCGTTTATAACTGTGCCCAAGTATTTAAAAGAAGACACCTGCTGCACTACATTTCCCTTTAATTATTAAATTCGCATTGACGTTAGCTTTTGAGAAGACAAGCACCTTGGTTTTATTAATGTTTATATGCAGTCCGAATTGTTCACTATGTTGAACAATGCGGTCAGTCATTCTCTGCAAGTCAGCCATGCTATCCGCCATAATCACGGTGTCATCCGCATACCGAATGTTGCTAATCCTGATGCCATTCACTGTGATGCCTCCGTTCGTTGTTTCTAGCGCCTCTCTGAAAATGGCCTCTGAATAGATGTTAAAGAGGAGTGGAGAAAGTATGCAGCCCTGTCTGACTCCCCTTTTATCAATACTGCATCCGATGTTGCTTGTTCAACTCTTACTTCTGCAATTTGATGCCAGTAGAGGTTGGAGATGATCTTTATTTCTTGTTGATCTACTCCGGTATCTTTCAGGATTTCAATCATTTTGTGGTGTTTTACACAATCGAATGCCTTTCGATAGTCTATGAAGCAGGTAAAAACGTTGACGTTCATGTCTCTGCATCTCTGCGCTAAGACATTAAGAGAGAACAATGCTTCACGTGTTCCAAATCCTCTCCTAAATCCGAACTGTGTATTATCAACCTGGATGTCACATTTTTTATATATACGTGTGTGTATTATTCGTAAAAATATTTTAAGCTTTTATTTATTACTTGTCAAAGATTAGATGTCAAAGAATTTAGATACGTTAATTTGACTTACCTGCTTCAGTAGCGTATCGGATGTTTGTGTTAATAAATACTTATTATAACCTATCTATTTTTATTAGATTTATATATTTTTATAACAATTTTAATAACTACCAACATTTATTCACACCGTAAAATAAAACAACAAATTATTGAGTCTACCCCACGTCTACCCTACATCATAGTTTTACATTTTTTAAATAAAATTAGAACGACACTGAGAAACCGGAATTTAAGTCGGCCATATTTGAGGCCCATCGCGGTGTATCTAAGATTTTTGATATGCTCCTTCCTTAGTCTTCTTATTCAAATGTTGTACTAAAATTTATGGCACGAATGGTTGTCATCTCGGCGCACTCAGTGATGAGGTGTTCTGGTGTTTCCCCATTTTCTCCACAGAATCTGCATTTGCCGTTGTTTGTAAGCTTCAATCTATTGAAGTGTTCTTTGAGTAGACAATGTCGTGTTAAAAAAACCGTGACAACCCGAAGATTGGTCTTACTCATAGACTTAGACTACACTATTTACATCTACACGCGGTCAAACAATCATTTTTGTACACATGTTTACTTCTGGGTACACTCGACCGCAGCCGACCAAATCTTCCTCGTCCAGCCTGTGTTGTCACGTCTTTAATATTATCAATATTTTTTTACTTATTATACACATATATTGAGATATTAATACTGCATTTTAATAAAGTAGGTTTTAATATTCCATAGATGTATTAAATAGTCCTTATACTACTTTATTATAAGTCGAATACTATGTACCTACAACACCGATTAGAGGCGAGGTCGTATTCATTCTTCCATTATCTTGTAGTACGCGTCGCACGTGTGTAGTAAAGCATTGTTGGCCGCTACTTCTCTCTAGCTGAATTATTGCATTTTCTTAGTTTGTAGTCCTTAAATGTTTATTTTATTTACTTTTTGTATTCAAGAACTATAAAATATGGTTCGCCAGTGCCAAATTTGCAAGAAATTTGACTTAAATGATCCATTGAGTCTCGAAACGACTTTGGACTGGTTACCAACTCTCAATTTACCAATTGGGAGTCAGTGGCGTTGTTGTAGAAAGGCCCTTATTTAGATAATATTTGAGTAAAATGTAAAGTCTGATTTTTTTTCTATTACATAATCATTTATATAAAAGTTTTTGTAACAAGATCATAATTATAACCCTGTTATTATACAAGATAAATTATATTAGGCATCGGTTAAAAAATTAATCATGTTTTTATTAAAAATATATTCCAGTTTATCCTAAAACTATCTTCAGAATCTAAAATAACATACAAGAATTTTAAAATGATTTTACATTATGAAACAATATTTTTTAATATACCGGGTGCGTCTCAAAAGTCACCCCTATGACTTTTATTTTTTCAGATAAAAAAGAAAACAGATTTGTATGTTAGTATATGACAAATTAGGATTGACTGACGCATTCAATTGTTTTCGGTATTTCCTGTTTCACCGGAAATGACTATAACTTTTGATTTTTAAATGGCACCCTCGGTATATTTCTACTTTATTCGATAGAAAATGACATTCTGAATAGAATGACATATCATATGTCAACTTTTGACATAAACAAGTTTTAATCAAGAAGCATTGGAAAAATAGTTTTGATCGTCTAATGTTTTTCGTGTCTTGTCTAGGCCGGTTAAAAGATGCACAAATCGTATTTTTAATCATATGTCAATTTTTTTAAATGGAGCAAGGGTGACTGCTTAGCATATTTCGAAAAAGCATTTTTTTATGAATATATTGATACTTGGTATTTCGAGTCAAATTGTCGTTATGAACCGCGTGTTACAATTTCAATTAAACCTTATGCGAAAATGTCAAAAGTTGACGTATGATATGTCATTCTATTCAGAGTGTCATTTTCTATCGAATAAAGTAGAGATATGCCTAGGGTGCCATTTAAAAATCAGAAGTTATAGTCATTTCCGGTGAAACAGGAAGTGACCCAAAACAATTGAATACGTCAATTAATCCTAATTTATGTCATATACTAACATACAAATCTTGTTTTTTTATTAGAAAAAAATAAAAAAATTATGGGGGTGAGCCACTTTTGGGACCGAGCCGGTATAATAAAGACAGTACCGGGTTAAATAAATGTAGTTTTTATTTTATCCACTTCCTAAAAGCTTGCTTTAATGAAACAGATCTCTGTTTTCTCTAATTTACATAATAAGACATCACTTACCAGAAAAAAAAATTACAACAATCATGAAGTTTTTTCTCTTTCCATGTCGCCGATTCTAATATTAGGGTTGTAAATGTTTGACTAAAATTAATAATTAATTTATTAATTTCAAAAATTAAATAGGTAATTTCGATTATTAAAATTTTTTCTATAACATGTATTTTATTATTTTTATCGCTTTTGGATGTTTTTTTTTCTAAACTTTTATTTAAAAAACCTCTCCTAAAGAGGAAGAAAATTTTTAGTTGAATTATAGCTTCATTAAATTAAAAAAAATACCCGGCTATGATACGGAGAGTTCAGCGGTGGGATTCTGTAAGCTCCGTAGCAAGAAATTTCCTGCCTAGCCTATGCTATTTGTATACGATTGATGAGTCACTAGACAGGGAATATGTTTACAGAATCGCTAGTCAAGTGTACTGAGGAACGAAAGACAGTGTTGCATTCCTCGTCAGAGTCGTCAGGGAACGACCGTTACAACGGAGACAACCTATCTATCGCTCGTGTCGCACTCGTTAGACCCTAAAACAATAACACAACAATAACAAGACATTGTCTGACCGCATCTTCCAGCTATTTATGAATGAGATGCTCAGTCTATATTTTATTTTAAGTCTATGGTCTTTCTTAAATGTAGAAAAATCTTTGATTGAATTGATCTGAAATAAAAATGCTTGAATGGCTAAAAATAATATTTCGTTTAAATTCAGCAATTTAACATTACTCCTGAAATATTTTTATTAGTTTTATCACTACTAAACGTGTCTCTATTATGCCTAGTCACACGCAACAAATATATAAACATTTTATCTTAATGATGCTATCAAAAACGTATTTGGTGAAAACACAATTACCTAATTGCAAGAAAACTGAGAATTTTTTTGTTAATTGTTGAACGAAATATTATTTATTTTATTAAAGAAAACTGTCATCATTTTTGTTGTTTTAACAGAAAAGAATATGAACATTTTCTAATAATCTATATTCTTTCCCGAGTTTTTTTCTATAAAACTGCTTATCATGAAAACAGGTGTTATTTATTTAGCAGTGTCTACATAAACTGTGCAGTGTTAATGAGTATCAAGTTCAGAAAAAATCTATAAATAAAAACAGTAGAAAAATTCCAATAATAAAATTGAAAATCTATTAATAAACCCAAAATTTTTGAAAATAAAAACTTTGGGTTGGGAAAAGCAACAAGTTATATGTACCTCTGTCCTCTGTCATCTGAATATTTACTATTATAACCACAGCCTATTTATACTCAGCCTGCCAATTTACGATCATTTGCATGGAAATCTGTGTACCTACCTAGATATTCGCTTGTATGATGTTATACGGAACAACCAACAATGATTGAAATAGGGTATTCTGGATTTTGCTCGTTTGGGTAGCATTAAGTTTAAGAAATCCGAAGCAGTTATCATTAGCATCACAACAATCCAAGAATTAAATAATGTGATTATTTTTTTTACAATATTTAAATTAGTTTTTCATAATGATGTGGGACTAATCAAAACGAGATGAGAAATAAATGGATTTAATCTAAAAGTTTTTTAATTTAATTATTGAATAAGAGTATTAAAAAATATAAGGTAGATTACGTGCTCATAATAAAATGCATATTAAGGTATCATAAAATAGTTTTATTCCAAGAAAACTAGTATTGCCAACTGTTTCAATCTTTGTTGATCGCTCTGTATATTAAGTCCGGTTCTGAGCTTTATTTATTTATATTAACTAAATAATTTATTTTTTTCAGATCTAGTCATCCATTAGCTATGCCATCCATTTCAACGACATCTTCTCCTCATAACACCGTCTAATCCCACTCCCCACCACCTGATATGAGGGGATCGTTAGACAGTGGTGGAGGCCAGGACAGCGGAGGAGCCAGTGGCGCCGGTCCCGGTCTATCCCCTTGCGTTGCCAGTGGCGCGCGCAGCAAAAAGCGATTCCCCGGGCGCTGGTCGCTGCGCCAGCTAATCTACTCGTCGCCATTGACGCGCAGGCGTAGCTCTGGAGGAGGCGGAGTCAGCACGTCATCTAAGGCGCACAGGAAGGCGGAGCATAGCGCATCGAGTAAGTTGAAAATGTCATTTAGTGTTGACAGAACTACGGATTATTCCGTAGATTTGTGGATTGTATATATTCTTTGGACGTAAGGATTCTTTTCCAATACCACGGATTTTCTGACTTTGAACAATTAAACATATACTGTATGATCTGAAATTTTATAGCGTTAGTGTTCTCTTCGAAATAAAAATCGCTGTCATTTTATATACACTCAGATGCAAAAAAAACGCAACGAAAAAAAGGTTGTGTTATATTTTTAGAAATATATGTTTTAACTATTTTAATAACTAATATAACATTTATTGACAACGTAAAAACAAACCAAGATATTATTGATTATACTCTACATTATAGTTTTACATGTTTTAAATAAAATTAGAACGGTACTGAGATATTGATATTATTTGAAGGAATATTTAAGTGTGAATATTTTTGTTTGTAGGTAGAGATGTGCCAGATGGGAAACCAGCCAATACATCGAAAGATAGTGATAAAAGTAACGTTGAACTGAATAGAAGTACCAGTAAATCTTCTGTATACGCAGCTAGTACAAAGGTAAATTTACTTTTTTTATTTTTTTTTAGTCTTTTTATATTAAATTTTTATGCTAGGAAGTTTATAAAGTTTTGAAATTGCTCCAAAAATTATTGAAGAAAGATATACAGGGTGTCCCAGGTTGAGTGTGCATTAGAAGTTTCTAGAGAACCACAATTTTTTATTACATACTTAAATTCTCTGTAAAATTCTATGAATATTGATGTTAAACACTCTATATCTAACATTAACCGTTTTTGAGAAAAAAAAATATTTAAAATTTTTGGACGAAAAAAACTACCTGTCAAAAAAATTTGTATTGGTAGCCTAAAAGTCAAATTTAGTGATTACCACAACCACTGTGAGTTAAAGAGAATGCATGTGGCTGTCTATTTCAAAAACTAAATTATTCAAATGTCATATAATAATGGCGGTAGCTGTCATGGAATTGAGCAAATAAAAAATTATCATAAATCATTTTTTTCAAATGGAAACCCACATTTTTTTTATTTCACTAATGAAAAGGTTTTTTAATTCGTTACTTTTTAACTATACATGTTCCTTTACCTAAAATAAATCGTTTTTAAGATTCAATTTAAGATTTAATTTGAAAATGTATATTTTTCTTGATTTTATCTAGCTTCCTTTGACATCAGATGTCAAACGGTCAGACAATTTATTTCCATCTGTCAGAAAACGAATTATTTGAATTTCCTATATTATAAATACTGCCTGTAAGTGTTTAAAAAGTGTATTTATAAAAATATATCTCGTATTTTCGCTCTTTAACTCACCGAAAAAAAAACAGCGAAAAGTTGACTCGAAAAGAAAGCGTCACAATATGACATGGCCAGATCTATTGTTTTACATCACTTGACGTTTAAAGTTATAGGCTACTGGTTAAAATCAAGAAACATATACGCTTTTAAACTGAATCTTAAATAACTTAAAAACGATATATTTTAGGTATAGGAACATGTATAGTCAAAAAGTAACGAATTTTCACTAGTGAAATAAAAAAGTGTGTTTTTATTTGAAAAAAATGATTTATGATAATTTTTTAATCGCTCAATTTTATGACAGCTACGGCCATTATTATATGACATTCGAACAATTTAATTTTTGAAATAGATAGCCACATGTTTTCTCTTTATGGCACAGTGGCTGTGGTAATCACTAAATTTGACGTTTAGACTATACACATATTTTTGACAGGCAGCTTTTTTCGTTCAAAAATTTTAAATATTTTTTTTTTCTCAAAAACGGTCAATGTTCGATATAGAGTGTTTAATATCACATTCATAAAATTTTACAGAGAATTTAAGTATGTAATAAAAAATGGGGACACCCATTTAAAATAGGAAAGTTGCTATCAACTTCCGGAAGTGCCGCCATATTGAAAATACTTTAAATCGATCGATCTCGTTGTGAAACTATGATGTGCAAAAAATCTCCGAGCTAGATGTTGTAGTTCTCTAGAAACTTCTATTGCACGCTCAGCCTGGGACACCCTGTATATGACCTGGCTAACTTCGTACCACTGAGAGTAAAATCAGTGAGTAAAATCAATTAGTTTTTTGTCAATTGGGTGGTACGGATGAATGATTAACCGAATTATCTGGAATGATTGAAGCCAATGGATTTGACAGTTGTTGTCATGTGTTTATTTTTGTTTACATTTCGATTTAAGAATTTTCTATACATTTCCGTATCTTTATGGATTTGAATATGCTATTTTTAACTATTTTCTGTTGAATTTCTGTTCTACAATGTCGCTGATTTACAGTGGATCAGTAATTACAAATAAGTTATCAACGTGCGTGACATGAGCTGTCAATTGTGGAAGATAGTAAAGTTTCAAACCTAATTTATTTAAAAATAAGTTTTCTATATATTTTTTTTCGTTTTTCCATTTTTTGCGATATTTTATTAGTTATTCTGCTGTTCGTTCTTCAGTTATAAATGGTGTAACTAACTCGACTTTGTTTTATTTGTTTTGATGTATGTTTAACAACATTTTATATACATTTTATGTTGTTTTATTAAGATTTCAGTTCAAATCTTAGACAAATAATATAATCTAATAGTCTACAGTTTAAATAAAAGAAGAGATACTATACATTTTGATACCACGTCTGGGAATGAAGAATTTGAATACACAAAGCTCTGATAATATACAGAAAATAATTCATTTGCTTACCAGTATCTGGCTGTGTCAATGTTCAAAGTACTTTCGATTCACATTTTTTAAATCTTGAAGAATCACAATTTGAATGCTTGTACAGTCATGAATCTCAATTACTTTTTAATTTTGGATAAAAGATGACCTTGACTAGTTTATTTTTTTGTTTATAATGTCTTTTTATGATTTTTTTCTGAGCATATACAATACAGATTTGTTGGGAAGGGGGAAGTTAATAACTGCGACTTTATAGATCTAATTTGTCCCTCTTTCTACAGTCTCAGAGCTTTGAGAAAAGCCAGTATCTGAGACGGTTTTACAGAGGCTAGTTCTCCATCTCCGATATCAGCCGTGAAACTTTATGGTACGAATGGTTGTTCTGGGGTTTCCCCATTTTCCCCATAGAATCTGCATTCGCCGTCGTAGCAGAGTTTATGGCCCTAATGGTTGTCGTCTCGGCGTACTCGTCATCTAGTGTATCCCCATTTTCTCCACAGAATCTGCATTTGCCGTTGTTCTTCTTAGCTTCAATCTACTGAGGTGTTCGTTGAGGAGACAGTGTCCTGTTAAAAACCCCGTGATAATCCGAACATTGTTCTTACTTAAATCAAGGAAAATCATTGATTTTTTTCAGCCGTAAATCCTGATAAATTTCTTCGTGTGTCTTAGACCGTTGGATGCTTCTCATTCCAGGTTACGGATTGAGTTTCTCTGGTCCAGGTTGTTTGGTTACAGTTTATCTTCACCTTGGACTGCAATATAAGTCCTGAGTTAGTCCCCTAAGTTTGAGAAACCCTGTATATCATACAACTGGATAATAAACTAATTTAGACCAATTAAATTAAAGCGGTTACTATTAGATTTGCGCAATCCAAACATCCTTCGTAGAACACAGTATAGATCTAATGATAAAATTAATTAGTTTAAATTGTTTTTGAGAAATTTTTACGCTTCTACTCGTAGTACAATGGATGTTTCCGTATTAAGTCAAAACGAGGCCGAGTGTTTCTCAAAGCCGCGTGCGTGTCTTTTTTTTTTGTCGTGAAAAATCGAATCGAACACAAAAGCCATTCATATTTCTATTGAATTAACTTGAAAAAGATTAGGAAACATCATTTTTACAATTTAGAGCTAGTAGGAAGTATTTTTTGCAAGTAAAAATTGTTTTATATACGTATTTTCATCAAATAATTTGTTAAAGAGCCTTTTTAAGAGCGAAATGAAGTGATCACGATCAATTTGCAATTTTTTCAATTATTGTTCCTTTTTGATGTAATTTTTTAATATGACGAGATGGTTTTGGTGACTATTGTCGTAACGTCATATTACGCTGCATTCGATACTCTAGACTAAATTAAAAAAAAAATCTAAGACTAACAATACAGTCCTGGTTTTAATAGACATTAATAGCGATAACAGAATTAACGATATTAAAGAAAACATCTTTAATACTCAAGTATACAAACAGAAAAAAAAATTGTAAAAAATACCCTAATACTTTGTATTGCCTCCCTTGGCTGCTATAGCTGCCGGTATACGTCCGTTCATACTGCCATTGAGGCTGCATATATTGTATTGCGGTTATGCTTTACCATTCTTCTTTAAGAACCAAGCGAAGTTTATTTAATGAAGTTGGTACCGCTTCACGACCTCTAACCCTCCTGCCAGCATTTCCCAAACGTCGAACATGATGGGCAGTTCCATAGTATATGTTCACAATAATTCAACAAAGCCGCCTTGTCATTGAAAAATAACTTCAAAAAGAAATGACAATTGAAAAAATTTCAAATTGTTGGTGGCAAGTTCATTTCGCTCTTAAAAATTCACCAAGGCATGTATTGAGATGATCTAAAAACAAAATGCTCAGGAGACATGGTTCTGACCATAAAGTTATATTTTAGGAAAATTTACACACGAAATTATTGTACAGGGTGTTTTAAAGTTAGGGTAAAAAAACAACCCCTCGATAACTCTGTATAATATGCCAAATACTAAAGTTTATAAAAAAAACTGAGTTTACGATTAAAAGGTGATTTAATTATATACAGCTTGCTAAAAAAATCATGAAAATAGGGCTAAATATAACACTTTAAATTTGACAAAAAAATTTCCGTTGCGTTTTTTTGCATCCAAGTGTATAACCTTTCTTTTTAGCATCTAATTTTCACAAAATAGGTCCACACGATGCTCGAGTACCTAAATTCCCATATAGCGCCATCTTGGACTGTCCTATTATTCTGAAACTGTGCAAAAAAAACAGTAGCAGACGACAACAATAAAATTACAAAACAACTTAATCTCTAAACGTTAATTGAAAGTAAATCGTGGATTTATGTTAAAAGTATTGTCATTAATCAGCATAAAATACCGCACTTTTAACCACTCTATTGTTGGCGTTTTTCCCATTCAAAATGACACTTCGTTTAGATAGAATTCCTCGTGATTCATTCTTTTTCAAGCGTGTAATAGCTCAAATACCGGGTTTTTCTTATCTTGCTTGAGGTGAGAGAACAACACTTTTATGAGTAATTGTCTACGTAGGTAATGTTTGAAGGATATACGTACTTAAGATAACTAAGTAATTTAAAGAAAAGAGGATAGATACACGAAAATATGTTAAAGATGCATTCCTAGATACGCATAAAAGATAGTCTAACCGATATACATACAATGACTTGTTTAGACTCAACATATACAAAGAAAATGTAGACAAACCGTTTGTTTATTATTATTTTTTTAGTCTGTCCAACGACAAAATACTTGACCCTTGATTGATTTGTCTGCCATTTTCAAAATAGTCTATTTTATTTTACAAAGAAATAAGTTGGTGCTATTGGTG